GCGATTGGTTGTCGCCCGGCGTTTTTCGCTCGACATTTGCATAAAGTCGAGGAATGCCCAATCTTTTTGACGCTCTCAACCTCTGTCAACGCTTTCTCCGCGCCGCTTTCAATCCCATAATACACCGCGCGAGCGTTTAAACTCAGCTTCCATATGAATTAATTGAAAACGCTCGCTCCGCTGCGCTCGCTACGTGCCAGTGGAAACGCAGACAGGAAAGAGTGGAATTGAACTCACCAGGACCCTCTAGACCAGGGGTGTCAAACTCATTTAAGGTTGAGGGCCGGATCGGAGAAAATGCCCCCTTGTGCGGGCCGAATTACCTTTTGTTAAACCCTAGTTTGCTCACAATTACATTAATATTAACCATACAAACTACAATATAATAAAAAAAAAAATCTAGGACAACTAGATGCTTGGTTATTTTAGGGGTGTGCAATATTGACACAAAATGTCTGTTTTTTTTTTTTGATAGTGATAATTACCATATTTTGCAGAGTGTGTTTTTGAGATAGCACCTTGGTTGGTTTTTAAGCCTGTCATGGATAAATAAATATGACACTAAAGCCGCCAGTAGGTGGCAGCAAGTCTCCGTCTTAATGAGTGATCCATTGACTCATTCATTCAAAACGGCTGATTCGTTTAGATACCAAGCTAGTGATTGTCTTTATGAATGGGCCACTGAATCATTGACTCAAATAATTTGTTCAAAAACACAGATTAATTCAGTAACAAAATACACAGTGCTGCCTCGGAGACACACAATTGGTCTTACTTCGGCTTTGTTAAAAACTTTTTCTTGCCAAAACAGAGATAAACAGACAGCATTGTGACTAATATAACACACTTAATACTAGCATCTTGTTTGTTGAGCTGTTATATAAAATCTATTCATTTGCGATCGCGCTGACATTCGGGAAAGCAACACTCTTGATATATTTAGACATTACTTAACTATCACAACATAAATATTAAAAACTAAATTTCTTACAGGGCATTTTATTTTTGCCCCCATATATTGAATTATATTGTAAACTGATAGCCTTCATCCGGCACTGAAAAACTCTCATGATGTGTTTGTTTGTTTTTTTGCAAAGTTACAAAATGTCAACTCACACATCATTAAAACAACAGTTAGGATAATAGTACACAATAAATATTGCACACTCCTCGCTCATTTACTTTCTCCATGCGAAGCTGTCCAGTGCGTCACAGTGTCGTTTAATATTGCACACTAGTGATGCGCGGATGGCGGTTTTATCCGCGGATCGGGTGGGTCGGGTAATAAAAAAATGCATTCTGATTATTTGCGGGTGGGTCGCGGGTGGATAAAATAAATCATTATTTTTAAGTATTAACTACATTTTCTAAATTATGAACGTGTTTTAAATAGGCTACAGAAATTGAATAAACTGTAAATTAACATTAAAAGTTATTCAACAAAACATTATTTAGTCAAGAGCAGTAAGTTTTGTTGTTTGATTAACATTAATAAAAGACGGCACAGCTTTATTAGGCTGCATGTCACAAGACTTATTTCACGGATCCAATACTGATACTCATGCGTTTTGTTTTGCAACTGTTTACATTAACTTAAGACAAAACCGACAGTACTTTCTCAATTTGGTACTCGCAGTACGCACTTTGGATGTGACTGTGAGCGCACGCGCCTCTGGAGAGCGCGAGTACCGAATGGCTTAAAAAGACGTGAAAATAATACATTTTTGTGACGATGCAACAATGACCAATCAGGCTATTGACAATTCTGTCAACTGTCCCGAAACGCGAGCTAAAGTCTTCTATCGCAGCGTGCAGCAGCTCTAGATGCGTCGATGTGAAGCGAAAGTCAAAGAGAGAAGACGCGGTACAGCTGAATCACTTACGCTGTTTTCATCTGATGGTTTGTGTGGATTTATTTACTCATCTAACCTACACGCTATATTGAATAAAGGTTTTGCAGTAATTTCCCTCATTTTAAAGTCGAAAGCTGCGGGAATGAGTAATGCGATGTATGCGCAATCCCGCAACGAAATTCAGGATCTGATTAAACATAATTCTATTATACAGAGAATTGTGAAATAGATTTTCATGAAACTTTTCAAAAACTTTTTGAGTTTATTTATTTTTACAAAACTTTCTAGGCCTGGAAATTGCTGTTCAATGACTTTTCCAGGTTTTTAATGACCGTACGAACCCTAATGTGATGATCGGGTGCGGGTCGGATGCGGTTATCTAAATCAGACAAAAATACAGGTGCGGGCGGTTGGCGGGTGGATAATTTATTTGAAGCTCCGGATTCGGGTGACGTTTTAGCTCATCCGCGCATCACTAATAGACACACAATACGCCATACCATAAGATCTGCTACCAACAGTAACATACTAATTTAGAATTAAATATATATAATTATTAACAACTATAACTAATATACCATCATTTAATATGATATATTATATGGATGTGCTTTAGCCCTGTAAAGCCTGATGGAATGGAACAGTTTATTAAACCTTTAGACAAAACAAAATTTGGTGAGTATCAAATTTGATACATCAAGCTTTAATGGCTTTCATGGAGAATATGGAGCTCATATTCCAGGAGGAAAAAAACCCTCAGTTTAAATCAAAGGCCCAAACTGAGCAAAAATGAGCAATTTGGTGCAGTTGTTGATATGTCTATATAAACCAAAAAAGATTAAATTCTGACAGCTTGTAAGGCCTTCATGACAGTGTATCAGACTAACATAAAATGCATATAAATATTACTCTACATATCCCAATATATAATAATATATTTATTATATATTGTATAATTACAGTGGTGACCAAAATTATTAGAACACTAGTATTTTCACCAGCTAAAAATGGTTTCAAGTCAGTTATTTCTATCTGTTGCTGTAGTGTCAGTAGGAAATATCAGTTTACATTTCTAAACATTAATTTTGCCATTAATTGTAATAATCCAGTGAGATTTTTAATTTTACACTTGTCTAGTACAAATATGTCGCTTTGTTTCATAATTATAGTGTATACGTTTTTCTTTATTTACTCTCAAAAATTGGAAGTGAAATGTGACAACGCCCCGTAGGTGGAGTACATTGTAACATCTGAGGGGCACTTTGTAACATGACCATATGACAGCTTTCAATGTTATCTGATCGAATGAAAAAAATATACAAGACAAACTAAAATATTTTGTCAATAAAATAAAATAATTATTTATTTCAAATAAAATAATGGCGTTTTTTAAGAATTAAAAATAATCTGATTTTGGAGTTTGACATTGAACACATTGCAACCATGCTTGGGACGGCCCACATAAACGAGCCAAATGCTTTACGTGTCTTGAAATAATAATTTCTTAACTTTAAACATTGACTGTCAGTCTTTATTCACCTGTTTCTCGTCGTTTATCATTAAAATTTATTAAAGTAAATAGTGTGAATTACAATAGTATAAATAGTGGGAATTTAAAACTGGTTACTGTCTTCTGATAGTTAGCAAAGCATTACAAAATAATTTAAACTGATAAATAATAGATTGGAGATTAAAATAATAGCAGATTTGTCTAATTTTAAATGAGTAATAAAAACTGAGATGAAAAATTTACTTAAGCCAGAAATATAATTTTACTATGGTAAAATAAATGTTCAGTGATATCTTCAAAAGACTTTTGAATTTTGGCGCACTTTTTTTCTCTATATAATGTTGATATAGTAACTAGTAAATGCTGTAAATTTGGTTATGCTAGCATGTGAGGAAATATTTAAACCACATGTGTTACAGCTTACCCCGCGTTACTTTGTGCCCCGCGCTGCCCTACTTTCTTTCCATTTCTCCTTAAATAGCCTGTCCGCCCTTCCAGGTCAAATTTCTTCTTTTGGACATGTTTAAAATCACCAGAAAATTGCCACACAAGCATCAGTTACAACGCAGCTATCATCATATTATCCTCGTGCTGCTCGAGATTCTGGCGCCGCTTTAAAATGCGCATGTTAGGTGTCCCGAATCCCGAGGCGCAAAATCAACGTAAATAAATTAGCCATTTGTTCCGCTTTAAATTCAAAGTAAAATATTGTAGCGAATACACTATTTAATTTTGAAAATTATGTTTTATTTGTTATTTTACAATATTGTTTAAATCATCCTGCGGGCCGGATTGGACACCCCTGCTCTAGACCCTCTATTACAACTTATCATATCATGGCCGGTTAGCTCAGTTGGTTAGAGCGTGGTGCTAATAACGCCAAGGTCGCGGGTTCGATCCCCGTACGGGCCAGTGTGTTTTATAATACAAGAACGTAAATTTATTAAAACCATGCTTTATTGTAACCGATTAAAAATCTGGATTAATGTATGAGTCAATGAGCATAAAAGATTCAATAAAACGCCAATCTGTAGTATTTATAATACTTATAACAAGTGCATTTAGATTTAGTATTTTATCACATTCTACACTTGTACAAAATCTATACAGGTTTAATCTAGATTAAATCCAGAATTTGATGTAAATTTCTTTGCTCAGTTTAAAAAGAAAATTAGAATTATTATTAATATGTTGTCTTCACATTAAAATCAATTTATGGTTATGCACAACTGAGTAGATCTTTTTCAACTAAAATGTATTTTACCTTTTTTGCAAATTAACACTGAATAACTTCAAATGTTTTTTCCCCTGACAAAGTATAACAAACTTACATATTCCTCATCCAGGTTTATTAGGTGATAAACAGCTTCATTGATCTGCTTAAGAGCTATGCAGGTAATTGAAATACTTTGCTAATATATGATCCATGTATGATAATATATGTCCATTTTCCTGACATAATTTTTGCTGGTGAAAATAGCCGCTAGTTTTCAGCAACACCCTATCAGCATTCACCACAAGGTCAAGAGGGTCTGATGAGGTCCTTCTATTAACTTATCCTATACACACAAGTTACATTTTCATTGGTTACTGTGAATGTGTACGAAATCAGTCTCACCACAACAAGTCCAGATACATTTTCAATTTTTATTTTCCTTTTTGGACAGTTTATTTTCCAGTGTTTTCCATAATGGTTTCCTTTGACATTTTTGCATAATTCTTATAAGGCTATTAAGAGGGCCATTGCTATGGTTTCAGACCAACCTGCATAGCAATTGGAAGACAAAAAGGGGCTGGACACGGACCCATTAGCAAGAATGAGTAACACATAACATTACTTGACATTTCATTGGCACAAAATGGTCTTTTCCATCCTTCCAAATATTATAATCTTTAATTAACATGATTTCTGACTATCAAAAACAAAATGAAAAAGTAAAAGCAGTTTAGTGTACGTTTTATAGACTTTGGGAACCTTGGGACTTCCACTTCATGAGAGATTACATCCCTGGGACTTCCAAAGCAAATGGCAGTTTGAAAATACTTCTGTAGTGAAGAGTCCCTCTTTAAGATGGAAAGCTGTAAAGGCTGCATGGAATCATTTCCCAAAGTTAGGGAATGGGGAAAGAGACAAGTGAAATGTCTGCAACACAATGGCTACCCTAGGGAACTAGACAAAAGTACAGCTGGTTACCCATTTCCTATGAATAAATCTGACTTCAACCAGAAGCAACATCTTTCAGAGGTATACAGTATATTTTTCCCCAAACACCACGGCGAAGGCAACTATGAGACAGAGCAGCTTAATAAACCCAAGAAATAACCTTTGTAATGAAATAATGTTTTTGTAATGAAGTCATATCAAAAATCACTTAAACCTGGATTGTTACAGACCTGAAACATGGCCAGGACTACTTTTGTTTTCCTTCAATTTGTGATTCTCTATTAAAATGCAAACAGGTCGACTCATTTCATACCAATTCAGGCGTACCTGGTAGAGGCCACACCCATAATAACAATGTTAATCACCTGTTTTGATTGGGGGATTATAGTAAGGGGAAACAGGAGGTTGCAACATAACCACTGAAGGAGACATTTCAAAAACGTTTGGGTCCCCATGGAGATGATCTCGCATTAGTCACAGGTGCACCAAAACTGGGGAATTCCTCAGAACTGCTCATATCCGGGGCCTAACACCCAAAAAAAAAAAAAAACACCACGAGACAGGAGGTTAAATTATAACATTAGAATTACGCATAAATCTGGGACTTAATTTCATTCATTAACTCATGACTGATTATATAATATTAGTTTACCTTTTCATTGCCAGTGGCCCAAGGAGCCTCCCGCACAACAAAGCCCTTGGATGGGCCTCGAGGTTCTTCCATGCTGGAGGCAGTGGAACCAGAAGGCTTCATATAGGCCATTTTGGCTTCATTTTCAACTACATCAGACAGCTGAGGGTAAAGATGAGAAAAAATTTTTTGCTAAATACTCTAAAATTAATAATTTAATTTAAATTTCCTCTGCTGAAGTATAGAATTATCTTACATATTCCTCCTCCAGGTTTAGAAGGTGATCAATGGCTTCATCAACCTGTTCTGGACGGCCAGTCACAGTCACTAAATTGGGATTCGCAGCTCCACTCTGAGGGAACCGAACATCAACCTGAAAAAGGTAAAACAATATACAGTTATTTAAAGTGTGCATTTAAGAAAAGAAAAAATCTAAATGGTAGAACTCAAATACGCTGTATGAAAGTGATTGAAGATGTGACACATTTACCATCTCACCTTAAACTCATCCATGATTTTGTGGATTCCCTTGCCACGTGCCCCTATGACACGAGCATGGACTCTGCTGTCCAGGGTGATGTCCTCAGAGATCATTTCCTCCAGTTCATCCACTATAGCCTGAATAGCATCACGTGCCGCCACAGCATTCTGCTCATAGCCAGTAATGGTAATCTGATCCTAGAAGACCAAATCAAGGGGAAAAAAAAGTTCTTGGTAATTCTTAAAAAAAATAAAAATAAAAAAAAACCTTTAGGCTCCAGCCCGTTACCTGGTTCTCATCATTTTTCTCTGGAAACTGAATGTTGACCTCATGCTCATTACGGATTTGGGTGATTATGGCACCCTTGCGTCCAATGATCTTGGGGTGATACTTGGGATCCACAGTGATGGTCAGTTTGAAGCTCCTGAGAGCCTGTGGACAAAAATATAAATTGGTAATATATAATTCACAATGTGTGATTACAGAGTGGAAATCATTTACACGTTTCATTTGCTATTCAGGCTTCAAACTTACCCGATCCTCCTGTTCGGACTGTAGCTCTTTGACACGCTCAAGAAGTCCCTCTTTAGCGCGGTCAAGATGGGAGGCCAGGCCAGTAATGGAGATAATGTCAGACTGTAACTCATGAGCAGGCACTTGAATATTAACCTGGGAGGAAAACATTTGTCAGGACGGCAGCAAGAAAATCTATAAGAGACCGTTAAAAACCTTTAGTTATAAATACAACACATACCTCTATAGCCATTTATATGAATTAACTGCTGATAAATGCAGAAATAGACTTATGATTCCACTGAAATCAGCTGTAGTAAGACTAACCTCAAACTCATCCATCATCTTGCGGATTCCACTTCCTTTCTGACCAATGATGTAGCGATGCAGCTCAAAAGGCACTTCCACCGTAATGGTCACAGGAACCAAAGCCTTTAGGACAAATATTTGTTATAGCATTTGACAAAACACACCAAGAACATACAAATAAGAACTACTGCATAAAAGGAAATTTTCACACCTTTAGTGATTCAACAGCAGCTTCACATCTCTCTTTGCGGCCAGACAGCACAATGACATCACACTTCTTTGGGACTAAAGGATCAGCAGGCTCCTTCACCTCTCCATTGGCCTCTCCATTCTCCTGAACTGGAGCATCAGCTGATGGAGCTGAGTAAAACAGACAGCTTGCAGATTATACATGTAATCATAGAGACATAAAGAGACAGAAAGGGGCCTCAGTAAATTTCAGATTAAGGCCTCTGCAAAACCCATAAATGTAAATGTTCAGAGTAGGGATGTCAACGATTAATCGATGATCGATTAATTGTCGATAAGAGATGCAATCGATTAAAGCTATCATGGTCGATTAAGTCGTTTAATTTTGGGCTGCGTGCGGCTCATGCGCAAAACACGTGCAAGCGGCTGAAATTGTATTGTTTGTAATTGTTAATGACCACAAAAGCCTCTGCTAAATGCATAAATGTAAATGTTCAGAGGGGACTGCAGGATGCCTTAAAAGTATTTAAATTAATTTAAATAAAATTTTACTATTTTAAATTAAAATGCTCAAAAAAAATAAAGTGAAATGGCTTTCCCTCAATAATTATTGTTTTACCTGAACAATAATGTATTGTTGAATATTGATGAACATATGATTCTGGAGTCACTAGTATCACTGTTGTATAAAAGTAGGGGATAACTATGAAGATTTCAAATGGGCCATTTTTGTGCTTCAGCTTCAGTGTGTGGTCTTGTACAAGGGAGAGTTGTGGTTTCTATTTCAAAAATAAGCCAAGAAACATTCGATTTTCCATGATATTACCTTTTAATTATCAATATTCACTGTAATATTTACCTTGCTGGTCCTCTCTGTCTGGAAACTTGATCTGCACATTGTGGTCTTTAGTGATCTGCTGTATGCGAGAGCCCTTAGGCCCCATTATGGAGCGGTGGAACTTCTGAGGGATCACACACTCCATGGTCACATGTGCATCCTGCAGATTTAGCAGAACAAGTAGTCCATTACCTCTTTAAAATAGCACAATAACTGAACTGTCCGAGATTGGAATTGCATTGATGCATTGCAGACTGTTACATCTACTCACCAAATCCTCAATCAACTCCAGCATGCGTTTCTTCGCTGCCTCCACACAATCTTTGGCTCCCTTTAGGGTGACCTTATCGCTCTGTGAGGCAGTTCGGGGGAAACTGACTATAACGCCACCATACTCATCAGCGATCTCCCTCAGGACTTGGCCACGCCGTGCTACGAAGAACCGATGGTGCTTGGGATCGACGATCATGAAATCCTCTACAACGTTATCCTGATATCAGAAATATGATTTAAGATTCATTAGAGCAAATGGTATCCATTCAGAATATTATCATTTTTTTGATTATCAGTGTTGGGGTAAAAAAGATGAACATAGGGACTAACCAAGCTCTTAATAAGTGCCTCCAGCTCCTTCTGTGCTTCTGCTACAGCTTCCTCTGTACCGATGACTGTGATCAGCTCCTGATCCTTATCTTCAGCAGTAGGGAAGATGATCCTGGCACCTGTGCTGTCCCGCACCTTGCGGATATTTCCACCTCCTTTTCCGATAAGGAACTTGTGGTATTCAGGTTTGGCACGAAGCTCAACGGTGTGGTTTTTAGTTTGCTAAATAAAAAAAATAAAAAAAACACAAACATACTTAGTCATACAATAAATGCACAGAGCTTAAGTAGATTTAATTGTTTTGAGCAATAATGACTGGCCTTGTGTTAAAAGCAGTTTCGAAACTTGTACTAAGAAATCCGGAGCCCAGATGACATTCCAAGCGAAACATCAGCATTACCAGCTTTAAGTTTCAAGTTCTTCAAGGAAACCTATCCCTTTAGACATACCTTTTCTTCTGCCAGGGACAGCAGCTGTTTCTTGGCTTTCTCTACCTCCTCCACGGTGCCTCTGATTGTCACTGCATCAATGCCAGAGCCCTCTGTTGGGAAATGGATGTGCACGCCACCACACTCCTCCATGATGGAACGCACAAAACGCCCCTTGGAGCCAATTAGGGAGTTGTGTAGTTTTGAGGGGATGGACACCTCTAACTCTGTAATATTTGCCTGCACATATATTGGGGGGGGGTTTAAATGATAAATTCCCTTCTATATAAACACTTCCATTCAAAACTCTGGGGTGTGTAAAGTTTTTGAAATAAGCCTCTTATGCTTATTGCATTTGTTTTTTTAATTGTAATATTTTATTTTTTTTTTTTCTGTGACTGCAAAACTAAATTTTCAGCAGCCATTTCTTCAGTCTTCGGGGTCACGATCCTTCAGAAATATTTAGAATGGTACTGTACTTCTGAACAGTAATATAAAGAACAACTTAACATTACAGAAATACAACAAAATAATAAAATAAAAATAAAACCTCACCAGTTCTTTCTGAATGGCCAGAATCCTGTTTTTTGCTGCCTCACAGTTTGCCTTCTTTCCTGTGATGACAATCATTTCAGAGTTGCTGTTTTCCGCAGGCAGATCAATCTTGGTGTTAGTCTCTTCACGGATCTGAGAAAGAAAAAGAGTGTCAGTTAGTAAACAGGTTGAGAATGGATAAAAGTCTAAAAAGTAACTACTTACCTTCTTTATATTTGCTCCTCCTTTGCCAATTATGTTTTTGTGGAATTGCTTGAAAATGGGGACGGAGACAGAAAAGCTGTTCTCAACCTGGAAAACAAAAGTAGTGTGGTTTAGGAAACGCTAAAATTGACATCGTCATTTCACAGACTGTTAAGGTCAAAATATACTTAATTTAACAAACAAACACAGCCCGTCACAGTATACTCCATTTGATAGCATGTATGAACACCGTCAGTTGACATATGCGCAATATGAAGTTTCACCCTTGTCCAGTGACTCTCCAGAAGTTATGAATGTACTGTAAAAGGGTATGTGTACTTTAAAAAAAATAAATAAATAAAGTACCACAATTGGGCTGCACATACAGTGCTGCATACCACGTGTGCTGTGCTGATGTCGAAATTCGTATCATGCACTGTGCGCATTGCCTAGTGTACTCGTTAAAAAAAAAATACTACGAGTTGTAAGGCCTGTTTTCGTCTAACTATAGTTTTAAGAATATAAATCTATGACAAAAGGGAAGCACATCACAGCAGTAAGCACACAGAGAAACAAAATGGAATCACTTTCACAACAACTTTTTCCACCTGATTAAATTTAGAATCCACCCAACTTTAAAGAGGATGAGCTTTAAAGTGGCAGATGACAGAACTGCAGCCCGTGTTATATAATAGAAATAGATATAAATTAAAAAAATAATAAAATAAATAGAGAATGATTGATAGAATAATAACAGATAAGGTAATTGCGTCATGGGAAAATCAAGATGTGACCAGATGTTAAGTGGACCAAAACCCTTGCCATTGCCCGAATTAGTGTTCCTGATATCCTGATTCCGAACTAGGGCTGGGTATCGAGTTCGTTACTTTTTTAGGCACCGACCGAATTGCCTCGATACCATCGAGTATCAAAAAATGTCTTGTCTTGTTCAGTACCACATTTAGATACCTAAGGGGTTAATCTCATCAACGTCAGTGAGCCAGTAAGCATGCAGCATGCCTGATGTGCTTAAATCAAGTGCTGGTAATTGGCTCTGGTGAGGCGTCAAGGAAAAACATTAGGTGTGTTCAACTTGAAGCAGCGCAGATCGATCGGTGTTTGACAGCGATCGCGGAAGAGAAAACACAGGCAGACAGAGCTAGAAGCAGCTAATGCTCATCAGTAAATCAGTGGAAAATGAATAGAACATGATTTTAAGCTATGCATTTTAAAACAAACATAGCCTAAAAGACGTGGAAACTGAAAACTATTTGCACTGATTTATTGTGTTTGTTACATTTTGTTCCTTTTTGCAGTGGCTCAGGAGATGAGTCTTTGAGTCTGTAAAAATTTCAACAAGCTGAAAACATAATAGTTTGAGGTAATGTGTAACGTAACCTTGTTAAAAAGGATTTCATAAAATCGGTAGCAAAACAATTATCGTTCAGGAACCGGTATCAAAGTCAAGGTATCAGTATCAATATAGAAACATTTTAACTATACCCAGTAGGGCTGAACGATATATCGAAAATATCGAAATATCGCACATGTAAATATCGCGATATGCATATCGCAACGGCGTGAGATATTTGAATCATTTTAATAGGCTACTTAAATCAAAACGTTGCAAAAGGTCAAAGTTTTAGTTCGACGCATATAGCAGAGAATTGCTTGACGTTAAAAAATAAATGAATAAAAAAAAATTACGTGCAATAAGTTGCAGAAAACAACTCTTTGCCGTCTCGTCTTGCTGTCTGACTCACCCCTGAAGCGCGCGCACAAGCCGCATCTCGCGCAACGTCTCTTCAGTTCTGCCACACACGTGCAAAGCGCGCGTGCACACACACAGAGAGACGCGTTTCAGACGGCGCACGAATGAAGAGATGATCCTATTTTAATTTTATCTCTTCAGTTTTTTTTCTTCAAAATTAAAATCTGACCTATGTTCAATGTATTTATTTATTTATTTTTTTTTTACATTTTGTTTGCACAATTTTTCATGCAGAGTTCCAAGCAGTGCGTTTAATAAAATTGTTTTCAATTCACTTATATTTTGAGGCTGGTTATTTGTCACCTATGGTATCGATTTAGTATCGATACCGAGGTATTAGATCCTAGTATCGTACCGAAGTCAAAATTGTGGTATCGAGCCATCACTAACATACACACAGAATTATATCAATAGTACCCGTCTCGACGATCATTCTTGTAAAGGCAGTCAGTTATGTTTTAAATGAATGTAAACGGCTGAGAAAGAAATCGGATGTGTATCATTATACTGGATCCGTGCAGTCGGATTTAAAGGGACAGCAGCCTATAAATACGTGCTGCTGAATATGTCACTAATGTTAATCAAACAACAAAACAGCTATAACAAAGATTAATCTAAATTTAATTCATACAGTGAACACAATGTAGTGTTATTTTACACTTAATTATTAAATTTCTGTACCTGAATACTATTTATTTTATCTATGCTTGTAAAATTGTGTATTTCTTTTTTTCCTTTTTTTTTTACTGACTGTTCACTTGCCTTTAAACATGTTTGAACTTTCTCAGACTATAGTTTTTGCTGTGGTATATGAAGAAGTACTTAAAGTGTATGGAAAGCAAAGTCACAATGATGTAAAATTAGTGTCATTCATTTTATTGTCATTCACATTGATGTTAAAATTACATTTTCTGATTTGTGACATTACTTTTTAAGTAATGCTAAAACACTGCTGGTCACTTTCAGAAGTTGTAGTGAATCTTTCTTTTCTACACAGAGAGACGCGTTTCAGACCGAGTTGATTCGTCTTTCGCATCTCCTCCTTATGTTTGAACAGACACATACACACAGAATTATGTCAATAGTACCCGTCTCGACGATCATTCTCGTAAACGCAGTCAGTTGTGTTTTAAATTCATGTAAACAGCTGAGAAAGAAATCGGATGTGTATCATTATACTGGATCCGTGCAGTCGGATTTAAAGGGACAGCAGCCTATAAATACGTGCTGCTGAATATGTCACTAATGTTAATCAAACAACAAAACAGCTAGAACAAAGATTAATCTAAATTTAATTCATACAGTGAACACAATGTAGTGTTATTTTACACTTAATTATTAAATTTCTGTACCTGAATACTATTTATTTTATCTATGCTTGTAAATTGTGTATTTGTTCTTTTTTCCCCCTTTTTCTTTACTGACTGTTCACTTGCCTTTAATCATGTTTGAACTTTCTCAGACTATAGTTTTTGCTGTAGTATATGAAGTACTTAGTGTATGGAAAGCAAAGTTACAATCATATAAAATGAGTGTCATTCATTTTTTTGTCATTCACATTGATGTTAAAATTACATTTTCTGATTTGTGACTACTTTTTATGTACTGCTAAAACACTGCTGGTCACTTTCAGAAGTTGTAGTGATTTTTTTCCTTTTCCAAGAAAGAATGTGAAACAAATTGGTTATATAATTTTCATTTTTAAATATTTTAAAATATAATTTAAATAGATTTTTCAACACTTCAAGCAATATCGTATCGCATATCGCATTTTTTTTCAATATCGCACAGCCCTAATACCCAGCCCTATTCCCAACATCAGCAATTATGGAGTAGAATTGTGACTTGGCAATAGAAAATTCAGGAAATTAAAAAATAAATAAATAAATGAATAAATAGTGTGTACCATTTCAGCCACCATTTTCTGCATAAACTTTGTGCATTTTTCCACCTCAGTGCGAGGTCCACGTAGTTGTACAATGTCACTTTTCTGCGTTGGGTCAGGGAAGTTGATGATGACCTGAAAGCAAATGGGGAAAAAGGTTCTCTCCATTGTAAGACACAGAAATGTGCCATTTGAAAAATATCCCATGTATCTTAAAACATTTACCTCAGGGAACTTATCCCGAATTTCCTTAACTTTCTCCCCTTTCTGTCCGATGATGGCTCGATGAAAACGCTGTTCAATGATCATGTCCTTTGTACGCTCATTCTCCTTTTAAAATCATGACATTCTTAGAGACTTTCAGTCAAGAGCTGCCAGGCAAATAACCCAGAGGACTTTATACTCTGAGGCTGTAGAGACTACGGATGTTTATTTTTCCACAAGCTACACATGCATCTGACTCCAATTTAATTATTACGCAAACAAATTTACTGCAGACAGTAACTAAGTAAATCATCTAAGACAAAAGCAAACGATACACGCACATAACTAGTAAACCCTAACCTAAAGAACATTGTGAAGAGAGAATGGTAAACAGAGCCTTCTTTATTCAATTACGAATCTATCCAACTTGCCATGCGTGACGCTAGCTCCAGCAGCTCCTTCTTGGCCTCCTGCACTCCCTGGGGGTCACCCTCGATACGGATCAGGTTACTCTTCTCGTTGTCCGGTGGAATGCGGACTGACACTTTGTGGTGCTCCTTTATGCGGTTAACTAGATGTGGATGAAAAAAAACATGGGTTTATGAATGACGCATTAATGTGTTCACATAATATCTGTTATAAACATCAAAACAGCTGTACTCACTGTTTGCGCCACCTTTCCCAATTAAGTGTCGGTGGAACTTGGGGTCTACACTAATCTCGGTGTAGTCCATTCGGCTAACCTATAAAGAATACATGAAAAATCAACTAAATTGTTTAGGACATAGAGGCCTATATACGCCAAAATATAACAAAGCAAGTGGAAGCATTTGTCAAATAATAGGGAAGTTAAAGTCTTACCAGATCTGTAACAACGGCTTCAATCTGACCCTGTACTATCTGTACATCTTTGGTGGGACCCTCCAGCGTGATCTTGTCCTCTCCCTCAGTGAACTCAATGTGCACCTGTTGATAATCACAGAGCACTGTCTTACTGGCCTCATATTTCAAAGGGTCAGTTCACCCCAAAAATGAAAAATTTTGTCATTTACTTAGCTTCATGTCATCCCAAACCTATAAGTCTTCCATTCATCTTTGGAACAAAAATTTAGATGTTTTAATAAAACAAGATATTTCTGCCCCTCCATTGATAGTCTACTCCAGCAAAACTTTGATGCTTCAAGAAGTTCATAAACAATTTTAAGAGTAATCCATATGAATCACACCACTGAAGTCTTCTAAAAAGACACTTTATAGGATAAACAAATTTCATTTAAGCATTTCTTACATTTAACAAAATCAACATTCATATTGTTAATGAAAGATTGTGTACTTTCTTGATGCGCAAACCACTAAGGTTTGTTCTCAATCAAATACGGTTGAGCTTCAATTTCATTAATTTGATGCACTCTGCATTAATCAATGTTCACATGAATAAAAGCCTAAATTAAAACTGTTCAACATATAAAACATGCTGATTAAATGATTCATATGGATTACTTTTACTATGTCTTTATGAACTTTTTGAAGCATCAATATTGGTGTTCTTTCAATAGAGGAACAGATACATATTACAGATTAAAATACAGATTAAATATATTTGTTTCAAGAACGAACAGATGATGTATGGGTTTGGAACAACATGAGGGTGTATACAGTAGCATCCTGGCTGTGTGTCATTTTAGTAGACTAATACAAAAAAAAAAAACTAATGTATTTGTAAATCTTGGGTGTTTCTTCTTGGCTAGAGGCCATTGTCATTCTGAACTACTTGTGCTGGTTGACGCAACTACTGCAACCTTTGTACTGTCACTTTGACATGTTACTCTGGTCAAAAACATCTGCTGAACATAAGCCACATCTACACATTCCCTTCATTGAGCAAGACAATAGAGAAATCTGGCTTAGCACTCCGACATGATTAGCGGAATGTTGACTCGCCTTGGGCATTTGCTGCGTGATCTTTGCCAGATTTTGTCCTTTCTTGCCAATAATGAAACGATGAAGCCAAGAGGGAGCAGAGACTGAGGACACAGTGTAGCTGTTGGCCTGTACAAAGAAAGTAAGGGTCAAAGGTTATACAGTAAAATTGATAGCATTTCTGCAGTAACATTTTCAATACATTTCCTAAATTAAAGCTAAAAGAGAAGAGCGCAAAAGAGAGCTTGATTGAAGGAATTATTGTACTGAAACATGCAGGGGGGAGGAAAACGAACTTGTTTACCTTGGCATACACTTCAGTGAGTGCCTGGCCCAGCCGGTCTGGCTCCCCACGCAGGATTACTGTCTCTGAGCTGCTGTCGAGGGGTGGGATCTCGACCGAGACGCCGGTCCTGTCCAGGATCTCTTGCAGGGTGTTACCCTTAGGCCCAATTACATACTTGTGCTGAGATTTCTTCACCTCCACTGCAATAGTGGTGGCATTCTTCTTCTGAAATGAGCAAAAGGCCACATTTAAAACATTCTCCTCAGTCGCTTTCAGGTCTATCATTACTTTCACATGGAAATTCGGCCCAGTGAGTTTCAGAAGCATACCGTGGATTTTGGAAAAGTCAACAAAAGTCCATTAATTATTCTGTCATAGCTTACCTTCTCCTCATAAATCTTCTTGATCTTGACCATGGCCAGGGCCACCTGCTCTTTCTCCCCAGTGATGACGATCTCAGTTTTGTTCACACTTGGTGGAGGGACATTAATGCGGGCTCCTGTCTCCTGCATCAACTCCCCCACCAGCTTGCTATAAGCTCCAGTGATGAAGGGGTGATACACCTTTTCAATGTTCATTCTCTCCACAGCACGCTTATCCTGCAATGAATTAATGAAATTATCATTTACTAGGTTTGATTATTACTCAAATTAAATCAGTAAATAAATAATTAGCACTATCTCACATAATCAGATTCGTAACTGTGTGATTAGCAAGAAAACAAAAGCCTAAATTTAAATGAAGCTCAAATATTCATAATTAATTATAACTAGTTATGATTAATTATTCATATTTCCCATGAGCTGATTCGTTACAACCATTTTATCTACATTTTAAAAAATAAAAACGAAAGTGTTTTAAATAGTAATTGATGTCCATTTTGAGATTAGCTAAAGAATATTTTTAGCAATTTCATTAAATTCGTTTTAACAATTGACTTTAAATGTGTTAAAAAATAATACCAACATCTTGTGCCTTCCTGCAAGTTACCCAATACATACCATGTTGAAAGCATACAACTACTGATAGAATTTAAAAAAAAATTTTTTTTAATTCATATTACCTGAGTCTGCAGTCGGGACACAATCTCTTTGCGGGCTTTCATGACTGCGTCATGCTTCCCAGAGACCATTATGGAGAGGCCTTGGTCTTTAGCCATGGAGAGTTCCAGGTGGGCTCCAGTCTTGTGCATAATATCAAGACATACTTTAGCCTGGTCTCCTTCTCCAAACTGGTTAATGTCCTTGTACTTGCGCTCTTCCAGAGGCACATGGAAAACCTGTATTTATCAAAGCGGAAACCTGTCAAACACTTGAATCAATATTCCCCAGGTAAGATAGTGACTGTAACTAGCTTGATCGCTGTACCTGGGTAATTGCTGAGGACTTGAGAGGTTTGATCGTAGATGTCCAGGCATTTCCAGTCTCCTGTACCCCCTCTGGCAAAGGCTTTTCAGGCAGAGGGGGAAAGGCATCCTTGTAGGTGGGAAGGCTATCCTCATCTTCAGCACCACTAGGGCCTGCCACAGCAGCTAAAGGCCTAAATTTAAATGACGTTTCAGACCTGCTCAGCAGAGATGAGCAGGATCTCGTGCTTGGCCTTCTCCAAGCCTTCCTTGGTTCCAGAGATCTTGATGAGGTTACTGGGGTCTTCGGGTCTAGGGATCTGGATCTTGGTGGCAGTCTTCAGCTCGAGCTCCTGCAGCTTCTCCCCACTCTTGCCGATGACAAAGCGATGATGTTCTTTGGGGATGGCCACAGTAGCTGAAGCCTGTAGTCAAGTAATAACAAAAGATACTAGTAATTCATAAATAATATAATTCTGGCTGATACAGACAAGCCGATAAGCATTTTCAAGGTACTTTTATGACCACTAGCAATAAATCATTAATATTAAAAATCTAAAGCGGAAACCTGTCAAACACTTGAATCAATATTCCCCAGGTAAGATAGTGACTGTAACTAGCTTGATCGCTGTACCTGGGTAATTGCTGAGGACTTGAGAGGTTTGATCGTAGATGTCCAGGCATTTCCAGTCTCCTGTACCCCCTCTGGCAAAGGCTTTTCAGGCAGAGGGGGAAAGGCATCCTTGTAGGTGGGAAGGCTATCCTCATCTTCAGCACCACTAGGGCCTGCCACAGCAGCTAAAGGGAAAAGAGGTACAAAATTCAACAATCACTTTGCCAGAGAACAGTTTAAATGTCAGAACAAGTCAGAAATGGTCAAAACTGCCACATACCTTTGACCTGCTCCGGCAGAAGGCCACTGCGATGCTCATTAAAGCTTTCTTGCGTAAGTACAGCGACTGAGCTCATGGTCAAAATCCCACGTTTACACGGAGTCCGAGTGTGCCACTAAGAGAGGAGATAGCACGTGATTACTGCATAAAGGAACAGTGTTTGGTGTATCTGTGAAATTATGACAGAGATAAAACAAAACAACACTGGCAGTTAAGACGATCCATTTATCAACATAGGTGGAACTGAAACCTTTTCACAATTATTTAAAAAAGAAAAAGAAACATCTATTTTCCATATGCAGGTTACTGATCTTATCGGGAATAATTCATACAAGTTTAAATTTTATTTGTTTTACCTCATAATTTATCAATGTCATAAATTAATTTTGTGATGAAGTTACAGACTTCTCTCTGCTGACGTCTGCCGGACTTCTCCAAACATTTTGTCCGCTTAAACCTCACCCATTTCTTAAATTCTGTCACCATCCAACCAAGAACCAATTTTTTTCCTTTTACAAATAACTCATTTCATTTAGATGCGTCACAATAGAGAAAACGGTTGCTACTTCGGTTTAACCACGACTTTAAAGAAAGGGGGAAAAAAAAAAAAAAAAGTAATATTATCTGAAAATAACTTTATTTCACAAAACAGTGATTTGTTCTAAACGATGTAAGAGAACACTATCAGCAGAAGCAATTTTAATGCGACTGAACCATTTTGTGGAAGGTCAAAGTTGCCCGTCTGTTACCTTGGCCAAGGGCTAATTCTAAGCCATCGAGTTGAATGAGCTCTAAAGCTAAGAGGATTTCCCCACTAACCCTTAATTTGCTGTACCCCTAGTATGTAGAGCAGCAAAAAAAAAAATACATTTCTACTTTGTAAATAAAAGTTCCACAAAGCACGTTCACATTTAATTGAAAACATGCACACCACACCTCAGTGAAATATCTACTTGGCAGACTGCTCCCCTACACCCAGTACAGGACTGTGAGGAAAAGACAAGATTATAAACACTGAGGTTACTGTTACAGCCATGCAGCCTTGAGTCCTGAAAGACCACTCATTTGATGCAGAAATTCTGACGTCAAAGACTAACACAGCTCATAAAGAATAATACGAAGTAGGTAGTGAAACATGTGCAGAATGATACAGTAAAATCAAAACCAACCCTCTACATTGCGAGTAAATCACTCGCATATGCGACAATCTTCACTCTGGGCAACTAAATTATGTCTAATATTAGCAAATTGCTACTAATTTATCAGATTTCGCCAGTGTGTGAGTTGGAGGCCAAGTATAAGTTTAGCACAGATATATTTTCACTCACAGAACACTCAGAAGGAGCACTTCAGAGTTTCACTCTCCGTCAAGCTATCTGTGCTGTTTTTCAGTTCATCTGAATGGATGTGCAACGCACCTGTATTTAACGTACTAGGCTTGCCGCGATAGACGGTGTTGACATTGATACCGGTGTTTAGCCACAACACCGGTTACGTCACTTGCCCACCGCGTCACTGACCCCCACCGTCGTTTTGATTTTTTTATAGAAATAAAAATCATTTAGTTCAGTAAAAGAACAGACACTACAATTAAAAACTGAAAGTCGCATCAAAGATCAGATATAATTTCTCCAGTGAGGAGAGTGAGTCCAGCTGACTGACAAGAAGAGTGAGGTGAGACAGACAAGACGATCGCGGATGATTGCCCCCGCGGTGATACCGGTATTACCGGTGTTGTCACACGCCGATTAACCGGTGGAAAAATTTCCTCACCGACACAACCCTATATTCATGAATCCAGTAGCTCATTAATCCTTAGTGCGTTTTCTATTGTTCTTAGTAGAATTCGTATCACTATTATCTTATCAGTATTTTTGTTAGTTTTTTCCCCATTTTTTTTTTTACAGAAACATTGAATGACCAAAAAAGCATTAAATAATATTGATTATCAGATTACAATGCTTTACTGACTGATGTTAAGAGTGTACTTTCAGATATTTATAAAACTGTGCCATTTTACACCTACATACATACATACATACATATATATATATAATTCTGGCGAGTAAATAAATTTACTAGCCAATGGCGATTCAATTGTCAAGGTGTCCGTAGAGGGCTGAAAATGGAAGACTATCATCAATAGACGAAGTAACTCATGGGGTAATTAACTAGGGCTGGGCGATATAGCTAAAAAAATGTATCAACGATATAATGTTTCATATCGTTCGGTATCGATAATTATTGACTTTTTTTATAACCTTTTTAAACACGCAAAGAAAGAAGGCGTGGTTTCAGTAACCGCAGTTAGTGTTGAAGCAGCCATGTCAGGGAGACGCTGTGTGTTTCTAGGAGAAAGCAAAAGCACTTTATTTGGGCATCCGAAACTAGATGCATTTAGGAATCGATTACTTACAACAGAACAGCAATGCATTTTAAGGACGACCGTTTTGTAAACATAGGAGAGGTGGTAATTCTGACTTTGCTATGACAATCTGGCCTTCTGAATCAGCTACTGTTTTGTTATTAGTTTAAAGGGGTCATATGATGCTGCTAAAAAGAACATTATTTTGTGTATTTGGTGTAATGAAATGTGTTTATGCGGTTTAAAGTTAAAAAAACACATTATTTTCCACATACTGTACATTGTTTCTCCTCTATGCCCCGCCTTTTTGAAACGCGTCGATTTTTACAAAACTAATCGGTCTGAAAAGCGAGGTGTGCTCTGATTGGCCAACTATCCAGTGCGTTGTGATTGGCCGAATACCTCAAGCATGAGACGGAAATGTTACGCCCCTCACCATACTGTTGATGCCGTGTCCGGCCGGAGCGACGAGACATAAACATTAAAACCCATTACAAACGAGGCATTTGTTGCATCCAGTGGGGACATAATTACTGATTATAATGACTTATACTGTCGTTTTACGCGTTGCGTTGCATTGCGCCGCGTAAACATAAAACCCTGTCTGCATTTGTGATCAGAGAAATGACAAACAACAAGTGCTAACGTTAATCCACACTGCCCAAAACAACATTAAAGCATGTCAACATATTCTGTTACACCAAATAATGATCTTTAAAAAAGCATCATATGACCCCTTTAAACAAATATCTAATTTCTAATGTTTTATATGCAGATTAAATAGGTCTTAAGGAAACTTTTGTCTGGTCTCCCGAGGCCACAGGAGGGCGCATTGAGCAAAATAATGCAGCACATTTAAATTGTGAACGCATAAGTCCATAAAAATAAAAAAAAGTGCATTACGTCTACATATAAATCAAATATAATTTTGTAAATTGCATAAACAATTATGAACAAATCAGCATCATGTATTTATGCATTGCTTAATCCAAAGAGCCGAAGCCCCATTCACTCAGATTGCATTTAAAAACATATGAGACGCAGTGAAAAGGAATAAACCTCCACAAATTCGCGACGCGTTTTCTAAAAGTTTAAACCGTTTTAACTTTGCATGGCTACATCTCTTGTGTGACGCGAGTAGGGATGTAATGATTAACCGCGAGCCGGTTGAAAATAGATTCAAATGTGACAATTCAAATCGGTTGAGCTGCTAAACAAATCGCGTTGTTTTTGCTTCAAATTTCGAAACTATGCAATCTAAATTTAGTTTAAAAACTGCTCATGTTGCATGTATGCAGCATCTTTGTTTGGATCATGATTAAAATGCAGTGGTTGCCTCTAATTTTAAATGGAAAGAGCACAGACAAAACCTTGTTTTATTTATATGAAGAGATTTATTTGATTTGATTTGGGGCTTGTTTTAAAATTTCAATTTAGTTTTGCTATTTACATTTACATTATATTTAAATTTTGTAATTTAATGAGGACAATAGAAGCAATCAAAACCAACAAAAGAGCAATAATATGCAAGTGCTATATTAGTATATTATTATAGTGTTATATTTCAATTTGACAAAGAAATGTGCAGCATTTTGTCCAAGCAATAATAAGACACGTTTAATTTATAATTTGTCTTAAATCTCTTTGATAAAATAAATTTAAAAAAATTGCGAATCGTGAAATCAAAATCGTGAATCGAATCGTTACATCCCTAGACGCGAGTGCAGCAGTCATATTTGTCCGTCTAAAAAAATGCGCTGAATATGAGTTCTGTGTGAATGGCTTGGTTTCGGTTTTAACCCAAGACTTCTCCGCATTGAGCTTCTATATTTCTATAATATTTTGAATGCATAACACAGCAGCGGCGCGTCTCGTGGGCTAGACTAACAAAACATTAAAATGCAACAAC